CTGTGGCTGACGGTGTTTCTTCCTTTAGGACTGGCCAAAATGGACCTTGGTTCCGACGAGTTCCTGGACATGCTTGCCGGTATGCAGAGTCGTCGGATGGATGACCAGCGGGTTAGTCTGCCATATCTGCCAGGCCTTCAGCATCCGGCCAGGGTGCTCGGCCCTCATCTCATGAAACGGCGAAGCCGAGAGTCCGTCGATGTCATGTCGGACCACAAGGATTCGGCGCAGTCGGCTGAGTCGAGACAATCGGATGTCGAGCGCCATCTTACTGACGAATTTTACGAAGGACTTATGCGTTGTCAGGTATGATTGTCGTCTGTGACGTTAGTTTAAACAAACGAAAATGGCTGTTGTACGTAGAAATCTAGAACTGCCCTGATTGGTGGTATCTTTCTCGATATGTGACTCTTCGTAGATCGCCGCTACCAGAACTTAATCATAAACCGAATACCTAATTAATAGACAGTAGTCGCTAATCGAAGTCATAGTTACAAGGCTGGGTCAGGTGCCAACTGAATCTTCCTTCTGTCATCAGTCACCATTGAGTGCAGTTAATGAGCCTTACCTCATTCAGTCATTTACCTTAATTACTTGTCACCGAACTCTGAACTGCCTTGAAAAACAGCGAAAATGAATAGAGAACAGTTTGTATCCGTTTGGATGTCGAGCTTGCTTCAACTTTCATAATGAACGTCGCGTTGCAGTCCCTGGAAAGGTCCAAACGACACGAGTCAAGAAGAAATTCATTCCTCCTCAGTAACATGAAGAACGCAGCGCAGGACGTCGCCTTAGTGAATAGGAATTAACGCAGGAAGTGATCACATGCTCATCAAATGCCGAGTGCGCCTGAACTCAGTTTTGGAGGAAGGAAATTGCTGAGGATTCAAGATATTAAACTCGGAAAGACTGGGGAGCAGCCTCCCATCATAGCAATTCATGTTAAATTGTCGAGTCGACGTACTTCACGGAATTTAAGAAGAATACGCAGGAAAAGCGTTGGGCTTAAGCATAATCTATTCGGATATAATGAAGGCATGACAGGATAAGCTTGAAAATTTAGCTGGATCAAGATGGAGGAAAATGGCAGGTAACAGAAGTTGATAAAGAATTCTTTCGCGAGCAACAGATCCATTCAACATAGATCGATAAAAACTGATGAAAGCGGTTAAAAAACCCCAGAGAATATCAGTGGAACAGGGATTACCAAAAGAAAATCGACCGAAAAATCTGATTAAGAAAGATCTGATAAAGAAACGAAGAAAATGAGGGCGGGGCAGCAGCAGATCTGGTATCAGATATCCAACACGCGGATGCAAGAAAATATCTTAGCATTGAACTATCTATTGTAAAGGAAACTCTTGAAATCTTCCGAAGCATGAGGAAAGTAAATCAAAAGCTGGCTCTCGTGAAACGGCGAATTTTAGTTCTCAACGCAGAAGATGGAATTGTTATCAGGGACAGGCGACAGATTCTGTAAAGAACGAAAGATTTCTACAGAAACTGTACCTAGATGAAAACAGCAGCGCTGTAGGTGACGGTAAGGAGCCTGAAAATACAAATGAATCTGACCAAATTCCAGATATTTGGCCATAACTATTCGACATTGAATAAAACAGTCAAGGCGAAGAAAGGCTCCTGGTGCAGACTCGGCATTACAGTAGAACTCATGGAATCAGGAGGTATCAAGCATTCACCAAGAAATTAGCTTGCTTGTTTTCACTCTGTGTAAACGATCTGAAAATTTGAGACTCCTGAACCACCACAGCGGTGATTCTTCTTCACAAAATGAGACAGCCAGCATTTGAAGAATTACAGACTGATCAGTTTATTACCAATCATTTGCAAGATCTTACGAAGGTTCTGATGAGCAAACTTTAAAATACTCAAAGTTTTACAGTCAAAAAATCATGTAGAATTCAGAAATGGATTTAATACGATGGATCATCTCCAAATAATACATCAAGCAATGAATGTCGGCTTCCTCTTTGATTGGGGGGGGGGGTTCGTCGATTTCGAGAAAGCTTTCGCCTCGATGTGCATCTGTTCGTTCATGGATTCCTTAAGGAATAAGAGAATCGATAAAACATACACAAACCTGATCGTCGTGAGTTAGATGAATGCAGTTTCCAGTGCAAAGTTTCGCGAAAGCATAAACAAGTTCAAAATCGAAGAAGGCGTCTGACATGGAGACGCTATATCGCCGAATTTATTCACCATGGCCCTAGAAAAGATTTTCAAGACACTCCGTTGAGAAAATTAGGGGCTGAATATAAATGGGCATTACTTAAGCTGTCTGAGGTTTGTGGACGATATTCTGATTGTCCCACGGCCACCTGAAGAATTCCACCAGGGAATCTCTTGACTGAAGAACGCCAGTGTCAAAGATGAACTTTACTCAAATTCACTCAAAAAATCTGACCGTCGTTTGAACCAGAGAGCGGTTAAACTGGGTTTCATGAGAGAGTAACCTTTCCATGTAAATACCTTCACATCGATGGCAGGATGAGCTGAAGAAGTTCGCCGCATCAAGATGGATGGAAATTGTAGAAAGCACAGGTTTATGGCAAAGTCTTGGCGAGGCATTGTTCCAGCAGCAGTGAATCGAGAAACTGTTGATTATGGTGGATGCTTTATGTTTTTGCGGTGGCATATCGGGAGTACTAGGTGCTGAAACATCATGACAACTGCCAGTTATGCCTGGCGAACAAACTGATGCGATATGCATATGGCGTTGCAGTGTTAAATCTCAAATTCTACATAGTTGCTGCGTGCTTAAATCACCTACCAGGAGATTTGATTCATGATATGGTTCAATGCGCAGTAAAATCTAGTCTTGTAGGCGTTGTGCGTTATGTATGTACATATATTTTTTTCCAGAGCGCCCGAATCGAAGAACAAAGGAGCGTTCTGCCAATTTCTGAATCCGTTGCGCTTCCCGATGACAACTTTTTTCAGCATCTCATTAAATTACAAGCCGAAAGGTGCGTTCTGCTTCTGATATATTGCGTCAATTAGTCACTTTGATTTCGTTCAAACTTCGATCTCTATTCGAGCAATTGTTTTCAGACTTGAAGAGCAGCGAGCTCCTCTGCATCATAACTCTGCAAACTGCATCTCGGAATGACAGTGCGGTTGTCGAGTCCCGTCGACGCTACTCATCTGACTGAAATTGGAAACTTACCGAAATTTTTAATTGTACCTTATTGAAGTTAGAGGACTACTTTTCTGTGCGATGCAGTTTGCTGAACCATCAAGTGTCGTTACTTCAAAAGATACTCTTTTGAATATCGTATAGCGTCAGCTAGTCTGTTTCTTGTGATTGACGCCAGTTTGCATTTATTTCCGTCGATTTATATGCTAAACGAATAAACCAGAATCAGGCGGCTGGTGACGAAGGTGACGTTTTTGTGCTTTCGAACTTTCGACTGTTGGCGAAAGTTGATTGATTGTCATAGAATAGTCGATGAGAAGTTAGAAGAGTATAAAACTGCTCTGTAAAACTGACATGAGACATGGTTGTTTTGCAGACGTATCGAATGACAGTGACAAAGGTCACAGTCTGTTCAAAGGGATGACGACTTTAACGCACAAAGTGAAGGAATTGAAAGTTTACCTCCATCGCTGAAACATCATGCTTGACTGCGTAATTAAAGTCAACTAGGCGAAAAGTTAAATAATGATTACTAACAGTAGCAATTAATTGGTTTCCTTGTGATTAACTACGATCATTATTGTCTAGTGTCAGTGCTCGTCCTCATCTACCTCGTATGATTGGTTGCCACAGGCTGTCATAAAAGGAAAGTTTGTAACCGTTGGACTGCTGACTTTTAACACATGATTGGGCAAATTCTAGCGCCCTTGTTTTTATGAAGTTAATGGCAAGGACGCTGATCTCCATTTCCATGTCATACTCAGAAGTTTATTTTCTTTAAGCGCAGAATCGGCAGTAGCTGCGTGGCAAGTGTGGTCTGTACTTCCATGTTTCGTTCCTACTCAATTTATCAACCTCCGAGCGAGGAAATTTCACTAACCCAGATATGAACCAAAAATCTCTTGGCTTTAAGTCTGTCGCTGTGCCACCAAGTAACCTTGCTCTAAAGCAACGTGTGGCGAATTCCTTGCTCAAGGGAATTTACGATATATACAGAGATTGCCCGCCGCCGCGGGAGTCAAAATCAGTACATCCAAAATTTGAGTTCGAAGCTGTCTTCCTACGCCATCAAGCCACAAGTTTCCATATCTTTCACTTAGCTCGTCATCGCATCTGAGCCGGTCTTCCAATTAGGCGCTTGCAGCCGTTTAAATGCCGATCCGTCAGTCTTGGGATGCGACTCATTTTAGTTTTCCTTCTCGTGAAACTGATATTGCGTCCTGCCTTTTTCGTACGTAGTATTTCTGCAATCTGCAACTTGTCCCTGATGGAAATTCCTTTCTTAAATAGCATTTTGCTGCTCTCTTAGTAGTTACTCATTTTACTTCATTTATGCTCAGGTCTCCCAACCATACAATGAATTTAGCAATGCCGTGCTTTCATGTGGTTTGTTTCTACTCCAGTAATGTCAGCGTTTCTTCTGTATCTATCCCACGCCCGCTAGTGAGCTGTAGACGAAAGGAGTGGTCTGACACCATTATTTCTCGGAGGCAGATGTACCTTGTAACTTCTACCTGGCCATCATTGATCATAACTGCATGTGGTTGTGCGAATTCATTTTTCATCATTTTGTCTTCAATCTCTCTATCTATTCAGTTTGCTTGCTCCTTAACTTTAGCTCACATCGCGTGGCTTAAACACCTTTTGCCATTGTCTTTAGCAGCACTGCGTCGTCAGCAAATACAAAATGAATAAATTGTTTTCCTTTGAGTGGAATTCTTCCATCCCGTTTCATTTTGCACAACAGGGATTCAGAATGTGAGGTAAACAGCTTATGCGATATGGTTTTTCCTTTACGAACTTCAATAGAATCCTTGATTACAACTGGATCTTCAAATAGCTGATTCTTCCTGCGGCAATTTGTGCATAAATATTTAACAATAAAAGTAAATCAAATACTGCGAACAAAGTTATCGTAATATATTTATGTATACAAATTTCGTGGCAAACAAAAATGATGAGGCTTCGCAAAATTTTACTACTGTTGCATCGTGAAAGAATAAAGATGGTCGTCGCTTCAGATTTTATGCGACGAAATAGGAAGTACAGTATTTAATAGAATAACTTTACAATCGATCGGCATCAGAACATAACGATAATATGTGCTGGACTACAGAATTATTGAAAACTTGATGCGTCGTTTTTATTTCTGCTAAAA